TGTTCGCTCTACTAATCGGATTATTAAAAAAAAACCACACTTTTTCTCATTTCATGTATGTTAACGTCACTATTTCTACGACGGAACCCAGGTAGTCAGCTGACGTGACTTGTCGTCATTTTGACGTTCAAATGAATATTTCTGCTCTGGAAGGGAAAAAGACAATTGCAGTTAAGCAACTTAACATTTCGGTTAGTGCCTCTTAAGTGAAAATTATCTTTGCGTTACTGAATATCGGCAGAACTAATTGACAGAATTTATTAGCATTACTTAAAAATTAAAACACAGTTAGCGACCCATTTTGGGGCCCACAATTAGTCATCGAATTATTTTTTCGGATTGTTCGTAACACTCTGATCTTTTACGAATTTTACCCCGCGTAACTGAAATCGCAATTAGCTGTTCTATCTATAACCAACATTTACGCAAAGATAATTTTCACTTAAGAGGCGCTAACCGAAATGTTAAGTTGCTTAACTGCAAAAGAAAAACGGTCAAAATTTTTCCCAGAGTAGACGAACAATCCAAGTAATTCGACTACCAATTGTGGGCCTCAAAATGAATTGCTGTCTTTTTTTTTCCCAGAGTGACCACATTTCTACGTCAACATGACAAGTGACGTCAGCTGGCTACCTGGAAAGTATTTTACGCAATGATGTATACGCAAAAACGTCGCCGTATTCTACCGTGTATATTTTGAAGCAATGGTTCTCGCACAGCAAACTATACCCTGAGACTTAAATCAGATATCGCTTCACCAGTCATATTTGAGATATCTCGTAGATGATATATCCTGAATATTTTAAGGATGTCACATTTCTGATATCTCTCTAAAAAATTTGGTTTACGTTTTCATTTCCATTATCTTATTGTTTTGTTTGTAAATAATTGTTTGTTATCTAACTTTTCCTCAAAATACGTTTTTTTAAACTTATCTACATGAAAAAGAAATATTACGGCAAAAATGAAAAAAAAACGGTAAATGTGAGTTTATATTGATAGCATAAAAAAGTAAAGGTTGGCTGATTTATGGAGGTCGCGCTCCTTAATACTTTATGCCGGAACTGACAAAGAAAAAATATATTTTACGTTTCACATTTTGTAATATGTAAAATCGGATTTTACTGAAATACAGATATCTAATACTTGATATAAAATCAGATATTGTATCTTATTGTTAGATGAAATAATTATGAATTTTTAGAATCTCGAAGACATCTCTCTCAGATATCCGAGCGATATCTGAATAGCTTTGCATCAGACTTTGTGATATTTATACGATATCTGCCAGATAACGTTCGCTATGTGGGTTTTTTTATCGTCGCAAGTGTTAATACGATAGTCATAATTGCCTGTGATCCGTCACACGCGAAAGAGAGGCACGAAGATATTATCTCCCGCTGGTACTTTGAATAGAATATTTTGGCCACCGCGCGAGTGTACGTTACGTAAAATGAACAACTCTTGTATAAGTCGTGCGGTTTGCTCGCGCAATTTGCACAGTTTCCGACGCACAGGAATGCAAAAATGAATATTTCGGCGCAGTCGTCAATGACATTGATCCTAACAAAGGAGTAACCGCAGCGCCACGGTACGCCTATTTGGATGTACAGGTAATAAGCAGGTACTTTATATGTCAGCGAGAGACATTAACACGGCGCTGTTTCCTCGATGAGCATTCGCGCGACAAACAAGCGGCGTCTTTCCTCGAATCACATTGGCAGCGCGAATTGCGGAATGGGAGTTAGCGAATAACTCTTGTCAGCCAAGTGCCGAAGGGCTTCCGCTAGTAATTGTCATTCAAAGGATCTCGTCGCAGTGCGGTTAGCCATGTACGTCCGGACTGCAACTAGCTTTCGCAGTGTATTGTTATAAAGTGCCCTGAATAGGGGTGCATCGGATTGTCGTCGTACCGATACTCCGCATCCAGTTGGGAGCCGATTTTCCTCGACGATCAAGAGGCTTGACGATGGCGCGCAACCAGTTTTCTCAATTACGGAACTGCGGGAATTCAAGTACGAATTGGACCAGACGCGAATCCAAGACCGACCGACCTAACTGGACCCCGGCTGGATAAAATCCGAGAAAAACATAGACTGCAGAATAGGGGTTGGGTTATCCTATCGACGCTCTCGAGGCTCAATTCGCTAAAACCTTCCAACTTTCCCCGAGGATCGAATAACTTGGCAACTATCGACGCGGGTAAAACGACCGTCGTTTTTCTTACTACATTCCCTCGTTGAAAAGCATATCCGTTGTTCTCGGGACACTTAGTAAATAAAGTTGGCGGTACTTTTAGCAAACGACGTACACGAAGCGTTCGGTGTCGCGGCTGGAGGGGGATGACAGCCTGGCAAAACCAACTGCCCGACCGCTTCTCAAATAGGGATAATCGAGCGCCCGCACTTGGACCCATATCCGAATGCCCGTGAATGGCAAACCATATTAACGAAGCCGACCGAGGCGACTGCGAAAATAGCTCGTCTTGCGATCCTTTCTACTCCGTTCGCGAGCTTTCAAGCAATTTAACGGCATGTCTAATTTAATTTGTGTGTTTACGTGTCCATGGACTTAGCCGAGCAGGGGAGATCGATACCGCGCTGGACCACGCGCTTAGGCTGGAATGATTTGTTGGCTAACTGCCATCGTCGTAAATTCTATTTTCACAGATACACGCGGCCAGATGCGCGCCGTGGCCGATCCGACCGCAAGTGAGATTTGCAGCTTGGACCCGTCAGGCGGAAAGGATGGAAAATAGAAACGCGTCCTGTGTCAATTCCTCGTGGACGTCTCCTTAAAGAGCTCTTTTTCTTAAAATAACTTTTTTCGGTCCGTCCGCGTCAGCTGACTCGACTTCGACTTGCAGTTTCGCACAAAGAGACACGTATACGCGGCGGAAAAGCTGTAGAAATATCAGACAGGATGGACATTCGAGGCAGCGATGTTTTTAGAAATAACAGGAAAACTTTGCGCGCACGCACACATGACGACGGTTCATGTAATTCGGATTTATATTTTCGGAGCGTACACGTAATTCAAAGTGCAAGCGCAGTGAACGTAAAGTTACCTGATTCCATATATGTTGAAAACATAATGGATATCTCATATTCCTAAACTCTCCTTTGATAATATGCTGAATAATATTGCGGGACAATTTAAATTTTAAACGCTCCGACAATCAAAGGTACTGCGCGGATTGCGCCAACGTTCTACCGTATATATCTGCAATTAATCAGAAGTTCAACGACTGGTAATTTAATAACGATTGAACGAAGGGAATTTCATGGCTTCGCGATGCACCGGGACACGCGATGGACCAGCTGTCGGCTCTCGCGCGCGATCTTATTCGGAAACGCGCGGACCCGACGTCGGTTGGAGATAGATTCGTGTCGAAAATCGTCGACGATCGTTAATGCGTAGGAGTTGGCCAGACGCCAGATTATACTCGTACGTGTGGAAAGCCACTGTTTCTCGCGCTTCGCTACGCGGCATCAAAACTACCGCGAACGTTTGGAAGTACCAAGAAAATATGTAATAACTACAGCGTGCGCGACACCATGTGAAAAATTCACTGCGTTTTAGCTTGCCAAGTGTCCAAAATCCCTTCTATAAAGATCAAACTTACGCGATTATTGCATTTCTCCTCAAATTATCGCGTCATTTCTCAACCGCTTGAAATACCGCAGCAAAATAGATTTAGCGACAAGATTTTTTCGTCTCGCTCTCGTGTTTTGATATCTGTTTATTAATACCAGGGTTGCGAAGTTACTTGTAACAAAGTTATTTTTTTTAGGGAGTTACTCTAACTCAACTTCGTTACTTTCTCTCCGTCTGTAACTGTAGCTTAACTCAGTTACATTTTTTCGATAACTAGTAATTAATTTAATTAGTTACATTAATATATTTTAGGTCTTGCATTTGCACATAAACACTTTTATCGAGCCTTCACAATTCGGACGCAGATTTGATATTTTTAATTTCATTGCAAGAAAGTAACTGCAAAGTAACTGTAACGCGTTACTTTTCAGAATTGGTCACTTGTAACTATTTTATATTTCGCACTGATACACAATTTTCTTTTCGTCAATTTCTTGGGTTTTCGAAGAATCCTTCTTGTCGATTAATGTCGTGTCGCCTACAGCTCCGATAAGCTCCAATCATTAGCTCGTTGACGGGGTTGCAAAAAGCGATCGGTCTCTCGCCGATCAACGACGGCGAGCTATCAATCGCGTTTCTGACCTTCGCGGTAGATCGCGCAGAATGGTTTCATCGAAGACTTACGATTAGTTGCGTTCTGCAGGAAAGCGCTCTACCACCTGCTGATCTCAATAGAATGGAAATTGAATCGATTTGCTCTGACGTAGATATGGGGAGTGAGGCAAATGTGAATAGCTGCGGAGGCGTAAAATTGGACGAGGGCGAAAATATCGGTGGAGAGTCCAGGTAGAAATTAGGACAGAGATCGCCTTCGGCTCGCATATCGAATTCAAAAGAAGTATCCGGTCCGCATCCCTCTCAAAATAAATCCGTGAGACCACAACACGACGCTTGCGTAATGCGCTCGCTCTTTTTCCGTCGATCGGTGGCTATCGCGCTACATTTATCGCTTTAGCCTGGCATCATTAGGTGCTCCGCTTAACAAGGTCATTTTTATCGCGTATATCCTGTGTGATTCAAAGCACGGTGAAATAAAAAAATACTGTTATGAGAAATGTTGTAATTACGACGAATGATCATTTAGTGATAATACGAACAATAAGTTATTTCGCAAAAGTGTATATAGAAAAGGAGTGTACATAGAAGAGATATTCTTTGTCTTTCTCTCTCCCGTATTTTCCGAGTGTCTTTATAAATTACGACTGTAGCTTTTTAAAATATTAAAAGTTCACGCAGAAAGATTTTTTTCCAAGTTGAAACTTCTTCAGTGATCATCTAATGAGTATGTTCTCTTTGTGTCAGGACGTGGATTTCATTATCAGTATTTGTTTCTATTGTTCCAGATCTGGTGTGGTTTGGACACTGACGTATTTCATTCTTGCGACTTGTCAATAACATCAATCATGGAGACGCAAACTGAGGTAAGTCGATTCTTACATTCTTTGCGTTCGTAATACGTAAACGTTAAGTTGACAATTTTGGAGCTCTGATTATTTTATTCTTCCTTTCGCTTGCGTGGAAATGTGCAAATATCCACATTTTATCGCAGTATGCGACAGGAGGAATTTACATTTACGTTATTCTTGTAAAATGCAAACTTCTGTTGGACCTCCACGGTCTTTTTGCGTTTTCTCCACGGAAGACGAAAGCTTCTTATGGAAAATTTAATGCGATTTCCGCTATCGTGATTGCATGGCTGTAGTTTACAGGAAATAAGGTATCTCTCGTACATAATTTGTCAAAACTTTTAACGAGTTGTAAAGTTTTTCTGTGTAATATACAATAAAAAAAAATATATATATATTCGATAATCCGTTCCATTTTGAGTGATTTTATATAAAATATGTAGAATACTCGTCGAATTCAGAAGTTTTAAAGCTTACAATGCATGAAAGAGCAATGAAAATTTTAGTCAACACGCTTAAAAGCCAACACCTTGTTCATATAGAAGACATTTTATATTACGGTATTTTAAACAGTTTACTCGTAGCGATTCTTTGTTCTCGTAGTTCTGTCGTAAATAAAGCACTGAAGTAGTAGTGTAGTCCACGATCCTCTGCCATTCCACTTTGAATTCGTAAAACACTTGTGTATTATATGAAGTCAGTGTTTAATGCTTTAAAGAGTACGATAATATTTACATAAAGATAGATATTTCTTCCCAAACTTTTCGAATCTTCGTCAGACTCTGTTGATGTAATCTTGCTAATAAAACGCGTAACAAGTACATGTAAATATTCTTCTTTCAAGTTTAATATCAGGATCAAATAGTCGATAAATACAGCATCTAGAGAAGAAACTTTGTAAACGTAAATTGAACGAAAAGTCTCTTAAGTCTTTAAAAAGATATAACGCTGTACTATGGCAGTTCCGATTGGTTTAGCTCGCATGAATTCTTTTTATTAATATTTCATCGTTTCAACGATATAATGAAGCTGGAAATAATGCATTATGTCAATGTAGCCCGTCGTATCAAATCGGCTTTCAAACGCGGTCGATTAACCGATATTCCCCTTTCCTCCTCCTTCTATCATTCAACGCGGTGGAATCCTCTCGCGAGCCCTCGAATCGAAGGTACTCATCAATCAGCAACTCGACAATGTGAGATCTTGAAAACGATCGACAAGAAGGGAAGGGGGCGCGAAGATAGATCTGACATTTCCTCGAACGATAACGGAAGTCGAGCTATCAGTTGCGTCAAACTTGTCGCTACACTCGCATCGTCTCTTTTTCGTAAAAGTGCTGCTCCACCACGTAAATATTTATTTATATCGCGAACCGTCGTTTCTTATGCAAATTACGCAATGACGCAAGTATAACTCTCAAGGATTCCTCACAAAAAGTAGTACGATCGTCAACCGCGTCGACGGTGTAATATTAGTGATCGCGCTTTAACATAGCGCGGACTTTGCCGCGTTGAAAACATGATTGGATTATTTGTAGAAACACGTTTGTCGGTTTTGACTTTCTTTTTCTACGTTATAAGATTCGCAGACGATAATCCGGGGATCTGTTTGTAAAAGAAAAATGGCATTTGGCGTATGAGAAAATAAGAAGAATTTATTTCGAAATCTTTATTTCTCAAAAATATGTGTTTATATAAAAATTAATACTTTAAGTGAAAATTTTCAATATTTACACAATTTATTTCAATATTTATAAAATTTATTTATTTTTTGACATTCTGACGAAGGCTATTAATTTATTTTATAATATTTAAAAAATAGATACTTTTTGTTTACGAACAAAAATTGTTTCTGAAATGGTTTGTTTGAAACACACCTCGAAATTAACTAATTTGAAATTTCTCACGGTAGATGAAAAACATCTCGGATTGTTAAAACGTTGAAGTTTAGTCAATTTCACCAATTAAGCGGAATTTTTTGGATTTATTGCATTGGTTATTTATTCTGAAAATTTTTTAATTAGTTGCTTACAATGTTGTCTGGATCCGAACTTTAATTAATTTATCGTTGCAATGCTGTCTATTATTCATTTATATAGAAAGAGTTTAGTTTAAAGCGTACACCAACCGGCTTTAAATTGGAATTTTATTCATTTATAAACTGGGTAACGCAAGCGGAAAACGATAAATCACAGTTATACGTGTACCACTGGATGGAACAATGGTATACATCATACTTTCCTCATTAAAATAAGAGATTTTACGAAAACACTTAATACAAAATTCATCTGGTTTATTCTGGTATGTTTTCATTGTCTCCTGCACAAACGGCAAAATCTAAAATTTAATATCACCTTATAGTTTGTGCGCGGAAGCAAAAGCTACCGTTGTACGCGGTACAATTTTATTTTTATTCGATTAATATGCTGTTTTTGTAATTTATCGTTTGTTCATTTCTTCCGAGTTTACGCAACAGTACTTTTGCCCTCCGTATAAGCGGAAAATTTAAAAGAAGCGCAGCTATTTCACGAGAGTTACATTGCTGGGGCTTGATGGCAACTTTACGGGCGTGTCCTATATACATGCGTATATATCTGTATTATCATGAGCATCCGTGCTAAAAGCAATGGTCAATTTATAGATAGTAGTAACGCTTGACATTGCATTGTAGCATGCACGTAGCACGCTATATTGTGCGTTACCTATAAACTTAGACAGCGTCGACGTAAGATAAGAGCATGATCTCGTAGCATACGCGCTCCCACGTACTGCAACAGACGGTTGTTACTTATTCAACGTATTACGCTCGCAAAAACCTTTATGCTATAGACTTCTTAACGACAATTAATTTCTCGGTACTCGCTATTCATCCGAAAGCACGAGAAAAACAAACACCCATTTTCTTACCAATTTGCGTTAATTATCCGATTTTTAAGTTCGCCGTCTCTCTAAATTAATTTGCCTACGTGCCAGCATTGACATCATCGGGAGATGAAAATCAGACATTTTGTACAGGAATATTTCGCGTTAAATGACGAGTGCACCGGCGAAAGACTCTCGCGATCGCTAGACGCTCGGTTACTCGATACTCATTCAAATAAAACTCAGAATGAACCGACTATATTTAACGCGACATGTGTGCGGTGGAGAAATATGGGTTAAGGTTTTTTTTTTAAAAAAAGCGTGATTGCCTCGGCATTGAGTTAGCGAGACGACTGTACCAGTGTTAAAATAGAAAAGCCTGCTCCATAATTGAACATCGAAATCTTGTTACTTTCGGTTTTGATCTCACCCAATTTTATTTTCGTTTTACTTTGGTTTTTCAATTATCATTCTCCTCTACCCACGCAGCGCACTTTCAATCACCAAAAGTTCGGACGATAATGTTCGTTTCCTGTTGCAACGAGATACACGGCATGTAAAACGTGACGCGCATACTCGGGCCCCTCTCAGAGAACTCATTGTCAGTTTGTCAGCGATGATACTTAACGAATTTGTCGCAAAACTTTCAACGCGACAGTTTTAATTGCTGTGTACGAAAAATACTTTTTCGCTGAATTGTTCTGCAGCCACTTACATTAAAACCATTAACGCGCATTTACATCTTTGTTTCACTTTGCATCAATTTTAAAGCGAGCAGCGCTTTTTACATGGCACGAATATCTTGTTTCATCCAGGTGGTGTGGAATTACCGCCGTAAAAATGCCAGCGATCCAGGTATACGCGTATGCTTTTTTGGCGCGGTGTGAAATTTCAGTGAAATGTAAATGCACGAATCTTCTGGCAAACGGGTGTGTTTAATTGAATGTTAATTTACGGTTCGCTATTTACCAGGCTGTTTGATTTAGGGGAGCCGTGTCACATTTATGAGATATGGGAATCGTCGATTTTTCACGAATAATCATCGATGTTTGTCGTTCGTATTTGTCGAGCGCGGTTTCGAAACGGTTAGAGTTTATAATCAAACGCACCGATAGGAGAAAAATTATATTAAAAATACATGTCCTCGGCAGAGATTTCATGTTCTGTTTTCAGAGAAAATTAACACGGTTGATATTTATATGGCAAACCGCTTTTTTTTTCATTAAAATAACATTAATCGCAATACTCGGTGCTTTCCCGGATACTGTTAGTTTTATTTCAGATAATACATTAATTATACCGTTTGTGAACAATATTTTGCAAAATTAAAGCCATTTAAGTAATATATAATCAAAAGGATAAATTTTTCATGTACATGCCACAAAGAGTATTTAACGAATGTTTAACTGAGGTCATCTATATCAGCGGTTACGTCTGACAAAATAAATTACGCGTTGCGTAAATAAATAAGAGCTTTTGTTCATCCAGATCTGCTCGCAACCATAATCCGTATATAGCGTTCAGGCACACGTAACATTACCGTACAAACTAACTAATTAATGAATAAGTGGAGTTCTGTTGACTGGATAATAAATGTACGCACTGCAAAGCCGATAACGTCTGTCAACTAGGCACTGGCGCGCTTATTTACGACGTTCTGAACCGTTCTAATAATGCGTTTTTATGTTGATTGCACTTCGCGCTGTAATAACGCCAGTAATTAGTGTACAATATGAATGGTACTATCTATCGTGAGAAAGAGACACAAAGGAAAATATATAATTTATATTAACGTACATACGCGTGTCACTTTACTTTAAAATAAGTTAATTAAAACAAGCAGCAAGTAAATAAGGAGGCCAAGTTTGACGAGATTTTAGGTTAACAATGTAATTTATTTATAATTCAATGTTGTTACATTAATCAATGAAAATTAATATTATTTGAGCATTTTACGTCACGTCTCAATACTTGAATATTGTAAAAAGTGGCATGCGATGTCTCACGGAAATCGCATTTGGAAAATATATTTTTCCGTCGTGATTAACGTCCATGTCACCGGTGCTTTCGCTCGACGTGCATTTTAGCGGTCGGAAATAATAAATATTTAAAATACAATGTGTAATGTATTATTCGTATGAGAGATAAACTTTTACGAGTATCCCGATTACTAGAACCGAAGGCTCCTTGGCTCGGCGCGTACGGCAAAGCGGCTTTATCGTGAAACGTTCCGCTTCATTATTTCATGTCGCGACACCTCGGCCGGATGCAATAACGTTCATTTCTATGCAATAAAGTTATTACGGGTCGTGTCGTAGTCCAATGAAACGATTTCCTCAATAATACGTTGAAATCTCCAACGGCGACGATTTATATCCACTCATTCTGCAAAGTTTCGCAGCGGTCCTGCTTCACGTGATAAAATTGAAGCGACGGTGACTTTCGCGAACAATTGGCAAATTGTCGGTGTTATAATGAATACGGAGAGCTAATAAAGTCGAACGCAAATGCAGAGAACATTTGGAATGCAGAGAAAATATAGGAGTAGCTCGGAACAACAGAGCGCGCGGAATGTCAATTTTATAATTTCAACGTGGAAATATCTTTTGTGCCAAGTTATATTCTACGGAAGATCCCGGTGTATTGATTTCTCATTTAACGTACAGGATCGATCTTATGCCTGAGAGCAACTATTTTTAGAAACTTATTATTATATTCAGTAGGCCGTAGTAATCTCCAGTCTTCGGTTTACATTCGTATTTTTATCGAGGGAGAATTAAAAGTGCCTTGGACCAGTATTTTTTAGCGCAAAGCTAGGTGCTGACTAACGTAAACTATTAACAAAGGCTGCATTCATGTTTCTAGTTGTAGATCGTGACGCATGTTAAGTAGCCGTACGTTACGGAGTCAAATTATGCCGTAACGTGTACCGGACATTTATTACTTATCTTACTTGTGCGACTGCAATTCATTAATATTCCACGCGTCGTTTGCCGAACAGATGCCGGGAAACACAACGGTGGGTAGCACGCTACTCGACGAGGAACTTCGTCGAATTCTGCTGGAACGTGAGCAAGAATGCATGAAGCTGAAAGCCGCGAATACGACGTTGCCGCTGTCGGGTAAAGTATTTTTCATGTTTGAAAATAAGCGAAATCGACCAAGCGGGAGCAAAAATGACGAGTGAAATTGCGCAGAGAGCGCACGCAACGCGCCTTTATTGTATGCAACGCGACGTATCGTGAATTTTATCAGGCCCATTTGCTTCATCTTGGTGCTCGATCAGTTTAATAGTGATTGCACATTAATATATCCAATTTTTCCCCTAGATTAGACGTTTCACTTATATACGAGTCCGTTGACAAATGATGGGAAAAAATTTTTGTGTTGGCGCTGCACGCGCGCGCGAATACCGATGCACTTGTTGAAGCGCGTACGCGTATGTACGTGTAGAAAAATGTCTATAAAACGATAGACGATTAATTAAACGTATACTTTATTTCACGAGACGCGGTAGTGTCTCGCGCCTAGTATAATTGTATACAACGCGACATATCGTCAATTTTATCAAACCCATTTGCTTCATCTTGGTACTCGATCAGTTAATAGTGATTGCACATTAACATATCGAATTTTTCGCCTAGATTAGACGTTTCACTTATATACGAGTTCGTTGACAAATGATGGGAAAAAATTTTAGTGTTGGCGCTGCACGCGCGCGTAAATATCGATGCACGTGTTGAAACGCGTACGCGCATGTACATATAAAAATCCTCCTTATATAAAAATGGCGTGTTAAGTCGATAGTCGAAAGTCTCGAAGTATTGTTGTCGCTTTTCCGAGATGCTGATTGGCTGTCTCGCTTGTGCGATACGACAGGTTTACAATTTAGAAATACTACACATGACAGAACGCGCGCTGTGTGCGGTCACGCATTGTGTATTTTTAAGAATTTGTACATACACACGCGAAGAGAGAGAGAGAGAAGTAATTATATGTGTAACGTCACTTTAAAATAAAAAGTAATATGTCAAAGTAAGACACGTACCTTATGATTTCTCTGCCGTTGCCCGATGCCGTCTAGGCCTGCTTCTCCTCTCAGATTTTCTTGTTGCACTTACACTCATAGCACTTACTCGCGAAAATCGATCGCGCGAAATTTCGGACACTCCCGTACGCGATGTAAAATACCGTGAAATGCAGTAAGTGACGTTCTTTACTTCCTGCCCGTTCGAATTGCGAAGAACGACAGAGCGAATTACGCCGTGAACGCCGAAGTCGCACAAATATCTCTCTCTTCCCGAAAATGGAACAGATTACACGAAATCGATAGATAGTTAAAAGCGCGGTGCGTAAACGAGATGTAACCGCGACAAAGTATCACGGTTTACATTCATGTTTTAGATGAGTTGGTCTCGTAAAATATCTATGTACACGTTGATAAAGAGCCGTCGCTTCAACATGCAATTCGTTTCTCATTACAAGTTTTAGAATCTTAATAATTAATCGAGTAACGTTACTTGTCACTGATAAAGGTGTACAAATCAATAGCGTTTTATCCCTACATTCTTCGCGATCGAGTCTTGGAAACCGGTAACGTAAAAATAATATCACGCACGGAACAACTCTCGCTGCTGCCTACCGGCTCGACGTTCGGCGAGCGAGTGATAAGTACGGAATTTTCCATAACGTAGATGGGCCAACGAATTCTCAACGTTTTGTTGTTGTTTTTCACTCGGCGCGGTGACGTACGATGTTTTTGCGTACCATCATTGTACCTGAAGGTCGCCGCGCTCTCATTTGCTCGCCGAACATCGAGCCGGCAAGCAGTGGCGCGAGTCGCTCCGTGCGTGGTATTATTTTTGCGTTGTCAGTTTCCAAGACTCGATCGTGAAGAATGTAAGGATAAAACGCTATTGATTTGGAATCCTTTATCAGTGACAAGTAACGCTACTAGATTAATTATTAAGTTTTTACAACTTGTAATGAGAAACGAATTGCGCGTTGAGGTGACTACTTTATTAACATGTACATGGATATTTTACGAGACTAACTCATCTAAAATATGAAAGTAAACCGTGGTACGTTGTCGCGGTTACATTTCGTTTAAGCACCGCGCTTTTAACTATCTATCGATTTCGTGTAATCTGTTCCATTTTCGGGAAGAGAGAGATACCTATTTGTGCGACTTCGGCGTTCGCGCTGTAATTCGCTCTGTCGTTCTTCGCGACTCGAACGGGCAGGAAGTAAAGAACGTCGTTTACTGCATTTCACGGTATTTTACATCGCGTACGGGAGTGTCCGAAATTTCGCGCGATCGATTTTCGCGAGTGAGTGTGTGAGTGTAAGTGCAACAAGAAAATCTGAGAGGAGAAGCAGGCCTAGACGGCATCGGGCAACGGCAGAGAAATCGTAAGGTAAGTGTCTTACATTTTTGTTATTTGCTAATTGTGCAAAATAAAGCATCTGTTCTGTGCTTTTATTTTATTTATTCAAATGATTCGAACGTGGATTCGAATAAGTGTTAAAGACAAAACCATACGTATAAAATTTTGTGAGTTCATATTTAAAAGGAAGACTTTCAGTATTCTATATAATTATTTTAATAAATACCCATTTTCAAAAATATTAAATATAAAGTATATTTAACACAATAGTCTGGATTTTACATAATTAGTCTATAATAATCGTATACATTTTTGTATTGTTACAGTTTAACATGTATAGTTAGCGATGTGCAACTTTGCTGTTGCGAACCGTATCAGTGAGTGACAAATTACTTTTTATTTTAAATTGACGTTGCGCATACAATTATTTCTTCGCGTGTATACAAATTCTTAAAAATATACAATGCATGACCATAAACTGCGCGCGTTTTATCGTTTCTAGTGTGTATAAAACACAGACGAGTAATTAAACTACTTCATTATAATACTATATACAGCATCAAATGAGGACATTATACTCAATAAATTGTTTTGAAATGCTTCTTTCGTGCGTATAAAAAAACAAGATAAAATTTCTAAGATAAATTTCTTAAAACAAGGAAAGAGAGACAGCATATTCATTTGTTTTTCTTCGACTTCATTGCTGCATTGTCCTTCTTTGGTGTGCGCGATCCGAACAAGAGCCTCTTTAATTTTCGGAGAACAAACAGCACGATATAAAGCACCGTGATAATTACGACGAATATCAAGGCATAAACGTCCAGCAGGCAGTGTTGCCACCAATAGAGTTGAAGTGCTGGTGATTGAATTACGTTTCCATATTTCCCGATATACTCCACCCAAAATATGGACTCATCCGAGGCACTTATCGGTCGATCGAGGAACTTCTTCGACAGTGTTTGTATATTTTCACTGAAACGAATGAGACAAAAGTTTCTTAGCAATACAGCGGGATTAACGTTTACAGACGAAATCAATTATGGCCAAACTCAGAAGTGTATAACGAGTGGTATGTTTAGTCGTGTCACGTGTTTGTTTGATACTAGCTCGAGAAATTTTGATTTTTTTTCGTGCTGCAAAAAGTGCGCGACCTTCATATGGATTTTACATTTTTTTTCTCTCTCTTTTCATTCGTCCTATCCGATTGAAGCGTTTGCTCTTATTATTGAACCTTTACGCGTAAAACGTGTTTCATACGGATTCGTGCAGATGAAATGGATGTGGAATTTAAAGCACATACCGATTGATTAGAACCGACTCACGATATGCATTGGAGAGTGAAGCAAGATTTGGTTACAATAGAGAGCACACGCTCTGTTTATTCCGCGATATGAACGCTGCAACCGGTCGCGGATCGATAAAGCTAATAAGATTTAAATCACGGAATTTTGACTTTTTAAATTCAATTTAATAATTTGATCGTTAGTTGCACAATTTTATTTTTTATTATGTTCACAAGTAAAATCACATTTTTCAAATTGGACAAAGTTTTGAAAAAAAAAACTAATGAGTGAAGTTAAAAATATATCTGTACAAAAATTAATGAAAAGTAAAAAATTGACAAAAATAAGAATATGTATGTTACAATTATATGTTATATGTATACAAGATGCAACTACAACTTTATTATCGTCACTACGTGACGTCTTATGTAAATTGAGCACAGGTACATCTTGTGTTTGCAGTTTCTCTCGATCAATGTTATGATTTCATTAAGCCCAGTTGAACATGTTACAATTAGCAAACAACAGTACAATGCTTAGGCTTTCCAATGTCTATAGTCTTTGAGTACTTACCGATAGGAGGGATCCTTCAAGATGGTATTTATCGCCGAAGTTAATTTTTCCTCGGTAACTTCAGATACTGAATTAAGCGAAATTGCCACCTTTTTGTTGACATAATTTAGAATGTTGTTGCGTTGATCGCCAAACAGGGGAATGCCAATCATAGGAACTCCGCAATAGATTGCCTCTTGCGTCCCAAAGAGCCCGCCGTGCGTAATGAAAGCTCGTATGTTTTTATGTTCTGCGAAATTCATAGTGACACTGTTTTTTTTTCTTCTTTGTGAAAACATCGCGATTGGCAATTGAACAAATGCACAATGCGCGAAACTAACAATAATTTAAAAGACGACGGAATGTTTTTTTCGTACAGACGACTAATTATTCGATTTATTTAAATGTTTCTGGAACTTGATTTGACTATGCATGTAGTTTGTTATTTTAAATAATTTTCAAAACTAGCTTATAATTTATTTTCTAAATGATAGAAACAGCGTATAAAATCAGTTGTAAAAAATTGAAAACATTTTCATCACGAACAAGTACGATTGGAAAATAATGTATATTTTGAGGATTACTTAATTTATATGCAAATATTCCTGCAATATGGAAAATCTGCAAATTTCTATCGAAAGTTATGATTCTAGAAACAACTATATACAGGAATAAAATCCGTTATTTTAACGATCCGGTGTGTGAGTGACT